CTCCTGTTCTTTGTTTAACAATTGAGAGAATGCTATTGAAGTATGGTAGCAACCATCTCAGGTAGAAACTGTAGAAAAGTTATTTTGATTTTCTGAATTGTATACATCATCCCATTCGATTGAATGACTATCCCATTGATTGTTATCTTACTGGTTTTAGAAAGCACATTCTTCTGTACCTGGGAAACAGGACAGCACAATTATTCTAAATTGTTTTAGTGGCCACAGATAATGCGTTCCAGTTGACTCAGTGGTCCCAAGACCAGGAAAGCGCAATTACTCTAAATTACCTTGATGGCTCTAGATAATGAGTTCCTGGCAACTCAGTGGTCTCAAGACCTGAGGGCTCTAGATAAGGTGTTTCTGTCAATTCAGTGACACGGAGACCCAAAACTATAATTAACATGCTTAGTTCTGCTTCTGTAAACTGCTTTTTTGCAAACCAGGTTCCTCATTCCAAACTTTGAGATGTAATCAATACCTTTGTGATCTTTGCCTATATAAGTCTGGTTTTGCCCCCATCTTATCGCTATGAGATTTGGGGAATGGCCCCTCATAGTCCTGGATTGCAATAAATGTGACTCTTTAATTCGACTTCTTGAGGCATCCTTCTGTGATTCGCGGGGTACATTACAACACTATCTGCACGTTCCTCCAGTTTGACGTTCCCCGCACTGCCAGCTGGGGCGGCTCCACCTTGTCCTTGTCCTTGTCCATCTTGTTGCGGTGCTTCTTGCACATCCACGGCTTGCGTAGCTTGGCCACCTGGCTCGTGGTTTCGCAGGTCTTGCACATGCTGCCCCCGCCTCTGGCCCGCCTCCGGGCTCCCCTGCTGCCGCCCTCGCCCCCAGAGTGGGTCTCTTCCTCCTCCAGGTCCTCCAAACTAGCCGTGCTCTCGCCTCCCGCCGGAGGGTCCGAAGTGTCCAGCAGGTCGGCTTCGTCCTCCCCCGCTTCCTCCTCTCCATCCCCCGCCGCTTCACAAGGATACCTAACAGGCTTGCCCGCCCCGGCACTGCCCCCCAGGGCAGGAGCCTGCCTCAGGACGCTGTCGGCCGCAGCTTCCTCCTGCCTTCCGCAGGGACGCATCACCAGGAAGGTGAGCTGCGAGGCCCAACCGGCCCCGCGCCCTGGGCAACACCCGCACCTCGGTGGTGCTGAGACCTGGCGGGGGTCCACGACCCAGCTTTTCAGCACCCTCGGGTTCCAACGTCCCATTTTCCACAGTTTTTACACCTCTTTTTACACGCATTCTGTCCTTGGACAAATGAGAAATTTGTTCTGAGACACCCGAGACACACAAAGTCCCATTAACCACATTATCATGGGATGATTTCAGTTCCGTCACACTCCCAACCTGAAACCGAAAACACTCTCTTTTTATTTAAAAAGAGAAAGTTTATTGCTCTCCCAGCGTGGCTCAGTGGCTGAGCATCAACTTACGAACCAGATGGTCACGGTTCGATTCCCGGTCAGGGCACATGCCTGGGTTGTGGGCGCTGATCCCCAGTGTGGAGCGTGCAGGAGGCAGCCGATCAATGATTCTCTCTCATCACTGATGTTTCTATCTCTCCCACTCCCTTCTTCTCTTCCTCTCTGAAATCAATGCATATATATATAGTAAGTTACAGAGGTAAAAGAAGTGAGTCATAGAATAAATGGGCTCAGGAAATAAGTTACAGAGGCAAAAGAAGGGCCCTTGGAGCTTAGGAGAAAGAGAGAGGCAAGGAAACTACACTTGGGGGTCAGGGGTTGAGAAAGGCATGGGCAAGTTCCATAAATTGTTGGGGGCAGGGGAAGGGGACAAAGAAGGGAGAAAAATCATTAACATAAAATGTATTGACTAATTTCTCCACCGCTGTGTTTAGTTCTAAAGCTAAGTTGATAATCATAACTTCTTTCTTCCACCACCCACTTTATAACCTCCTTAGGTCTGCCAGCACCTCTTTTTAGAGACAGTCTTTTACCTGGTGGGGTGACCCATCCTTTAGGAAGTCTATCTTTACCCAGTTTCCACAGTTTCCCGTGAACTGTTACTATCCTTGGGTGTGGCAGTACTGAAAGGCATCGCCTGAGTACTGGGTTCTGGATGTGGTCTTCCTTGCTTCCACTTCCAATTTCCTCCTGGTAATCAGGACTGACCAGTCTGGCCAACAGAGTGACCAACTTCTCTACCTGATGGTTCAGTGGCATGAGGAACTCAAAGTCGTCTGAGGGGAGTCCCAGCTTCCATCTGGACTCTGTTTCCTGGGAAACACATTCCTCTTCTGGGAGCTAGGACCTCTAAATCCACTAACCCCAAGAATTACAGACAGGAAGCAAAATATCCTTCCCTGGGTCTTTAGGTATAGTAGTGAGAGGGACACTCCCACTTTAACCCTTAAACTCCCAGATTCACTCATCATAGCTGGGAAGCAGATGAACCTCCTATAGTAAACATAGTTGGATTGTCAAAACAAACTCACACGAATCATAGATCTTACCAACACTGAACTTTGCCACATGTTCTAGTGAGAGTGTGCCGTGGGTCCTTTGTGTTGAGGCTTTTTATCTTTCCTTGGCCGGCTGGAATCCCAGGGGAGATCCCAGGGGAGGGTCTTAACAGAATACTCATTCGTTTTTCAGGTGTGAACTTCAATATGTTGATTGATTAAAATGTGCATATAGGGGAGTCAGGGGCTATTTCCTGGTTAGTTTCATTTTTAAAGAATGTCATAAAAGAATGTCAAGAACCTCACTGAGGCCGTTCTGTCCTGGGATGGTCTGGACGCTGTAAACCATTTGTTCCTACGTATCCTTGGTTAGGGAAGATAAAACCTTGTGATTCCTTAGCTGACTATAAATTGCTCCAATCATTTGACCTTGTTTAATTATTTTGTCTCAGTTTCTCTTAGTCTACTTGTCAAGGAATTTCCCTAGCTTCTTGCCATCCTGCCTCAGTCACTTCGTGATGGAAGGGATTCAGTGTCACCAATCTGTCACAGTGTTGGCTGATTTCCCAGGGAATGGGACCACATTTGGGCTCATCGCTGGTTTGTGGTGGTGGTAGTCACAGCCTCAGCCTGGTGAAGGGAAAATGATGTTGTTACACCCATGCATATTAGTTTGCTAGAGCTGCCAACAAAATACCACAGACTGGGTGTCTCACACACAGACATTTATTTCTCACTGTTTTAAGGCTAGAAGTCCAAGATCAAGATTGTTGGCAAGTTTAGTTCTGAGGCCTCCCTCCTTTGCTTGCATATGGCTACATTCTCACTGTGTCCTCACAAGGCCTCTTCTCTGTGTCATATCGCTAGGATCCCCTTTTCTTATGAGGACACCAATCACATTGGATGAGGGCCCATCCCAACATCTTCATTTTAACTTAATTACCTCTTTAAAGACCCTACTTCCAAATACAGTTGTATTCTGAAGTTATGAGGGTTAGGGCTTCAACATATGATTTTAGTGGAACACTATTCAGTCCATAACATTATGCCTTCTGGACAATCAAAAGTCATGTCTTTCTCATATGCAAAATACAGTCACCCTTATTCCAATGGCACTAGAGTCTTAACCCACTTCAGCCATCTGTCTACCTGAGCTCTTTCCCTCAGAGTAGATGCCCTCTGGTGGCACTTACATGACACTCTATACCAGGGGTGGGCAAACTTTTTGACTCGAGGGCCACAATGGGTTCTTAAACTGGACCGGAGGGCCGGAACAAAAGCATAGATGGAGTGTTTGTGTGAACTAATATAAATTCAAAGTAAACATCATTACATAAAAGGGTACGGTCTTTTTTTTTTTTATTTTTATTCATTCCCACCGGGCCAGATCCGGCCCGCGGGCCGTAGTTTGCCCACAGCTGCATCTATACCCATTCTGAGAAGTCCCTCCTACTGGCTCTCCCCCTAGCCTCTGTTCTCAATCTTCTAATTCTCTTCTTATCAAGTCTCTGCATAACTAGTGAACCATTAGTCACAATCCATGAATCAGTTTAGATACATATCTCAAGTTACCTCTTTTTTTATATGACGTGCACAATCAAATATATCTTCCAGATTTCTGCCCTGGGGAGGGTATCCCTCAACCATTCTCAGAATTACCCCCAAGTGGGGCTATCCATCAGTGGCCTTCATTTTTCGCTCGGTGTCAGGTTAGCATTTTTTTCTACTCTAGGCATAGAAAACTCCATGTAAAGCCTTGTAAGATGAAGAGAAGGCAGCAAAGTAGTACATGCATTTACTAAGAAGTTCTGACTCACGTGGGCAATTTAATTGTGACTCTTAAACCTACATGGACCCAGTGTTTTACTTTTTGATATATTTTTATTGATTTCAGAGACGGAGAGAGAGATAGACACATTAATGATGACAGAAAAGTATTGACTGATTGCCTCCTACACTCCCCTGACTGAAGATGGAGCCCACAACCTGGGCATGTACCCTGACTGGGAATTGAACCATGACCGCCTGGTTCATGAGCCACACCAGCTGGGTGACCCAGTGGTTTATATAATACTAGAGGCCTGCTGCACGAAATTCATGCACTCGGAGAAGGGGGCAGGGATCCTCAGCCTGGCTTGCACCCTCTCGCAGTCCAGGAGCCTTGGGGGATGTCCTGATCGCTCGATCAGGGACAGGCCCTGGGCTGGGACAAGGAACTGGGGATGGGTGGTGATGACCAACATCCCCCGTCACCCAGGCGGGGGGCTGTGACCTCTCGCTGGCTACCTGGGAGAGGGAGTGACTGTGACGGAGGTGCTGTGGGAATTCGGGGTGTCCGCCGAGCTCGCTCTCACTCCCCCTGCTACCCTCCCCCGGAACACCAGGGTTTGCGCACTGGGGAAGCCCCCCCGCACTCAGGTGCCGGACGCCCACGAGGAGCCCACCCCACATCCACACGGCCTCTTCCTGGTGAGCCAGACTGCAGCCACTGGGACCACAGGAGCCGGTTGGGCTCCCTGTGGATTCGAACAGGAGCTGGTCTGTGAGGCCGGCCAGGAGAGACCGTGCTGCTCTCCAAGCTTTTGTGCAGCACCGCTGGGTAGCCCAGAGGCCCATGCTGCGCCCCGGCCTGCGGCATCCAGCTGCATTCATTGCATCTCTGTGTGGGGACTCAGGCACTGTGACTCAGGTGGAGGGGGGTGCGTGGCGGCCCGGGTGCCCAGGTGCTGCCCAGGGCCCAGAGGTCAGCTGGGACCTGCCCTTTCAGGCCAGGCGCTCGCGCTTCAATCACTAGCCAGGCCTAGGGACTGCACCTGTGCACGAATTCCGTGCACCGGGCCTTTAGTATTAAATAACGCTAAAAGATATTTAGCTTTTCCCAAGTTACAGTCAGACTGGTAAGTGCCTGACTTGTCTCTGGGAAAAGTTTTACTGAGGATTCACAAACACACCTGTGGGCATCCTGTGGCAGGGTCCTTTGCAGCTCCACTTCTGTGAACTAGTTTACTTCTAGAAACTGCATAAGAGGCTATGAATTCCCACTTCAGTGACTTATGTTAGGTTTCTGCCCACCAGACCTGGAATCCTTGTCTGAATATGTCAAGAAACAGCTTGGTAGGTTTCCCTTGTATTTAATTTCTAAGGCCTTGTTATAAACTCTACATTGTTACATATTTCTACAGGTTACACATTCTAATTACTACCTCATCCCTGTGGGCTATTCTGGTAATTGTATTCACCTTGTCACTGAGGTCTAAGGATTGCCATGCCTCTTCCACTTCTGGACCCCTTTATTCCATTTTGAGATGAGAGAACTCAATTTCTTAGCAACATCCTTCACTGTCATCCCTAGCCAACAAAGAACAGCCACCAGAGTGTTAAAAGGATGCTGGTGTCTGCCTTACGAATGCATTCTGTAATGTGTTGGTGTAGAGCAGTGATGGCGAACCTTTGGAGCTCGGCATGTCAGCATTTTGAAAAACCCTAACTTAACTCTAGTGCCGTGTCACATATAGAAATTTTTTGATATTTGCAACCATAGTAAAACAAAGACTTATATTTTTGATATTTATTTTATATATTTAAATGCCATTTAACAAAGAAAAATCAACGAAAAAAATGAGTTCGCCTGTCACCTCTGACACACGTGTCATAGGTTCGCCATCACTGGACTGTAGAGCTTGTTCTGCAGGCTCTCCCAGGGAGGTGTGTGGGCCGATTCATGCCCTCATGCTTGCGTGTCGTTTCTCTGAGACTTTATTTATTTATTTATTTTACACTTAAAATGGATGCATTTTATTTTATGTAAACAGTACCTCAATAAATTTCATTTACAAACAAAACAAAATGACAGTATTTTTAAGAGTTCATTTAGAAAAAAGAAATTGACAATTTTTAATTAAAATATGAATACCTTATTTTTTTCACTTTTAAAAAATATGTTTTTATTGATTTCAGAGAGAGAAAGGGAGGAGAGATAAAAACATCGATTGGCTGCCTCTTGCATACCCCCTGTTGGTGCATGTGTCCTGACCAGCAATTAAACCATGACCTCCCGGTCCATGGGATAATGCTCAAACATGAGCCACACTGGCCAGGTTGAATACCTTATTTTTAAGAAATTAATGTATTAAGGATAAAGCTAAAGTTTCCTTTGACCACCCTCCCAATCTTCACTGCCACCCTTTATCTTTCCCATTTATACTGTCTCCCCCAAATAATCACTGCTGTGAGTTTGGTATGGGTTCTTCTGAACCTTTAAAAATATATTTACATATATATATAGCCACTGAAAATGTATAGTACTGTATATATCTTTCTGCAATTTGCTGTTGTCATTTAACATTATGTTTCTGAAATGCATCCACGTTCATACAGATAAAGTTTATTTTAAAAATCTGATATAAATAATCTATTATATGACTATAGTGCATTTTATTTAGCCAGACCTTTCCCCTCCTGACAGATATTTAGGTTGCTTTTCTCTATTACAACTCACCAGTGTAGTGGTAAATAGCAGTTACCACTGGGTGGCCATAGGAATGGGAGATGGTGTTCTGTAAGGTTCAACTTTTTACAATGAGAATGCATTCATGTATTATTTATATAATTTCAGTACTGAATTAAAGAATTTTCTGATACATAAATTATCAAAAAAGAAAAAAAACAAAATTAGTAACAGGAAGCAGTCATCTATTAAAATATATGGAAAACAAAGTTATAGGGCATAACAGTGTACTCATGGTTTGAGACATAAGCACTTACTAAAAAATAGTGATCTGAGTACTAAACAGGTCATATAAACATATTTCCCTATTCAAAGCAATTATAATGAAAATATCAGCATCTTGGTTATCTTGGCATCAGCATAATTAACAGATGCATGAATACTTCATTTATACTTTTTGCTTTCTTCTTTTATGACTATGATGTCTTTCCCTATCCCTCTCTTTCCTCCTTCTTGAGTCCCAATTTTTATCTTTATCTTTATTTCTTTTTCGTTTATGTGGGCTCCTACTCTGATCCCTTCTATGCCGTGAACACTCAGCATCCAAATAGCTTCCACCAGACTGCCGTGAATCTACTGAAGCTGATCGCCTTTCTTCTCTCTTTTCAGCATCATCCTCTGCTTTTTCCTGCTCTTCTTGCCAATTATTACTGAGTTCTTCCATGTGCACATTTATCACATCCCGAATCACTTCAGTGTATGATTTCTTGGTTATGTGAACATTCTTAGCTCTATAGGATTGACGTCTTCTTTTATAATCCCTCACTTCTGCCAAGATTTCAAGGTAAGATTTTGGACTTTTTCGACTATTATCGTGATTGACTTTTGCAGCCAAGTCTACAAAGAGATCACTGTCATTTTCGATAATTTGAGAATCAGAGCGCTTTTTCTTTGTCTCCTCAATTACAAAATCATAGAGGGCAAGACGATCAGCTTGGGTCAGATCACAAACAAATCGTTTGTGATTCAGAGGAACTTCGACAGGCAATGAAGAACAAATCCTTTGATTATAATAGTCACCATCTTTTCCAACTGCAGTTCTAGCTTGTTTAATTATCTGGAATTGTGAGTCCTTATTCAAAGTGATGGAAGGTATCTTCGTATTCTCATAGAAGAATTCAGAATTATACATTTTATCCTCTTCTTCTTTGGTGTAGCCCAGTTTCCTCAATCTACATGATACCATGTGCTTTGCTAAAGATGATTTAGGCATGTGATGATTGAAATCATAAGGACATATCACAACATCCTCGGCTGCCGCCGCCTCCCCGGGGTCCAGCCGATCCAGGCTCCAGCCCAGGGACGACGTGACCTCCTGCAGCGTCCGACAGCAGCTCTCCACGAACTCGGTCAACTCCTCCTGCAGCTGCCTCCGATCCTCCAGTGGGGGCGGCTCGCCCTCCATGGTCGCACCCAGCCCACCGAGGGGAAGCGGCCAAACTGCCAGCGGCACGTGGGCTTCTCTCTCTGAAACTTTAGACTCCTTCCTCTACACCTCATAGAAGAATTCAGAATTATACATTTTATCCTCTTCTTCTTTGGTGTAGCCCAGTTTCCTCAATCTACATGATACCATGTGCTTTGCTAAAGATGATTTAGGCATGTGATGATTGAAATCATAAGGACATATCACAACATCCTCGGCTGCCGCCGCCTCCCCGGGGTCCAGCCGATCCAGGCTCCAGCCCAGGGACGACGTGACCTCCTGCAGCGTCCGACAGCAGCTCTCCACGAACTCGGTCAACTCCTCCTGCAGCTGCCTCCGATCCTCCAGTGGGGGCGGCTCGCCCTCCATGGTCGCACCCAGCCCACCGAGGGGAAGCGGCCGAACTGCCAGCGGCGCGTGGGCTTCTCTCTCTCTGAGACTTTAGACTCCTTCCTCTACACCGAGTCAGTGTTGGGGTCCAACCCCAGCAGGTCCAGGGGTCCCCAAAGGTGTGGACGGAGTCGGTGAAGAAGGAATGACACAGAGACAGCGTTCAGTTGATCAGCAGCCTAGCCAGGATCTCTAGCCAGGATCTCCAGCCAAGTTCTGTCTAGGATCTCCAGCCAAGTTCTGTCCAGGATCTCCAGCCAGGTT